CTATTTGTTATCTTACTTCTATCATTGACAGTCCCTCTAGGTTGTGGGCTGCTTGCCTGTGTTCCTGAGAAGCATCTACGGTACCAGTCTATAGAGTGTGTTTTCTTTAGTGAATTACCGGTATGTTTACCGGTAATAAACTTGCACTGTTTTATGTATATGTTTGATTACATACAGCCTTGTGACAGTTTTCCTGCATGTCATAAGCATTTGAATATAAATTAAAATGTTAAAATCAAATCTGATATTGTTTTACCTTTTATTTGGTGTGTGGAAGGTGTGCGGAAGAGGGGGTAGTCTTATACGGCGAGTATATAACAAACTCTATATTTTGAGTGGAAATGTTAGGGGGTCGTCTTATACGCCCAGTCGTCTTATACGCCGGCAAATACGGTACAATTTTTTAAAATTCCTATATAATAAAGATCTAATATGCTAATTAGACTGGACAGCAGAATGACCTTCCAGAACAACCAGTGAGTAGGGGGCCAGGCAGTGGGGCTGCAAGACAGCCAGGGCCACGAAGGCTGAGCCCCTTGCATGAATTTCATGCATCGGGCCTCTAGTATATTTTAAAAAAGGAAAAAATAAAGAAATGGATGGGACTCCAGAAACATAGGGCCCAGGGTCCAGTATACAGATCGGGGCCTCATTGCATTCACTGTATGAAGCCAGATGGACGGTGTTTGGAATTCACTCTCAGCCCAGGCTAGCGTCAGTGATCTAGGGGCCAGGGCAGCCATTAAGACAGCCTTGTGATTCTGAAAGGGCTGGTGTTCTCAGGATCAACACAGTTCATCTTTGCAGATGTTACAGCAACCAGGAAGTAGAGCAGGACCCAAACATAAATACCTGGGACTGGACAGGAGAGTACGGGCTTCCAGGTTCTCCACTCAGGAGAGTTTCACTGTTCATTTTTGTTTTTAGACAAGCAATATATCGACTGCAGAAATCTTTGCAGAGTTCATTAACCTTTTCCAGCTCAAGAAGATGAATACGCAAAACCTGGATTGCTTTTACCATCTAGAAGCAGAGAAAATGAAGACTTTGAGATAAGGAAAAGGCAGCATGATGTTAAGTTATAATCATCATCACATAACTACTCTCAGTTATTAGCCTGAACCCTGCACAGCCATCACGATCTGTATTGCCAGTGACAGAAGTGGAATAACATCAGATATTGTGCAAAATGACAAATCGTCCCAGCACCAGACCCATGCTCCCTCTGATATGCAGAAAGACCGACAATGCCAGTGCAACTTCAGCGAGTACAGTACCAGGACCAGCAGACCTCAGCCAGCTTCACCACTGCCTCAGGCCCTACAGGCAGGTTGCCAGTCCTCACACTGCTTCATCTATAAACTGGGATGTATCCAGATCCACCTCAGAGATGGTTCTTAAGTTTAATAATGTTCAGCTTACCAACTCTGTCTTTTATGGATTGTGCTTTTGGTGTCAAGTCTAAGAACTCTGCGTAGCCCTAGATCAGTGATGGCAAACCTATAACACGCGTGTCAGCGCTGACACGCGAACTCATTTTTTGGTTGATTTTTCTTTGTTAAATGGCATTTAAACATACAAAATAAATATCAAAAATATAAATCTTTGTTTTACTATGGTTGCAAATATCAAAAAATTTCTATCTGTGACACGGCACCAGAGTTAAGTTAGGGTTTTTCAAAATGCTGACACTCCGAGCTCAAAAGGTTCGCCATCACTGCCATTAGCAGCACCTGCCTTAGCTCCTTCTCCTGTGACCTTGGGTAGTAATTCATAGTACTTGTGGAGGGAACCAATCAGCCAGCCAGTCAATAATGAGGAATACCAAGCATCCAGCTCTACTAGGCCCTGTGCCCTAACACCACTCAGGAGAGCCTTGGTCCCTGCCAGCCTGGGACCACTGTGGCCACTTCTGCCCCTCACTCGCTGATGGCTGTATGACAGCTTCAGAGGCAGAGAGAGTAGTCTCTGGTCCTAAATCCAAAAGGGAAGGCACTGTCAGTCCCATTCAAAAGATGAAGAGACAGACTCAAAGTCAGACAACTCACCTATAAAATCTATTACTGGGCAATAAGGGCTGAATGTGTAATGAGAAATTTAAACAACAGCAATGAAGACCTGGGAAGTTTATTCAGGAAAGAGATCTCCAAAGACCCTTTCTGCTGACCAGAGCCTGATGAAGGTACTGATCTGGGAGCTGGTATAGCAGGTTTCAATGGAAATCCAGTGAGGAGCCCAGACACAGCTGAAGTGCTCCACAGTACTGAATGGCACCACTCCCCTTAGGTACAGCAATGATGTTAATGCCAAAGAATTCTCCCTTTCCTTCAGAAAGCACAGAGAACCATGAATTTTAGAACACTGGACCTAGGAGGAGGGCATTATATGAGACAGATTGGCTTCAGACAGAAAGACCAAGGGAGATCATGGGGGGGCCTCGGAGCCTGTCCCTGCTCTGTGCTGGTGGCTCCCAAGTCTTGACAAACTTCGTCACCCACCATGAATCAGTGTGAGCCTCAAGACAGAGTTGTCTTGGAGAACACAGTCATGTGTCCATGGTCAAGGAAAAGTCAAGGACTGAAGTTGAGCATCAACATGCTGCCTGAGAAGCAAGGCAGGTGAGCACGTCAACCCCAATGAACCTTTCAAATGTCAGGAGAGAACTGAATCCTCTGGTCCATTTAAGATGGAGGCTGAGCCAGCTTATTTGATAACAGAAAGGGGTAACGAGAGAAGGCTGGAAGGCATTCAAGTCACACGCACACGTTATTCTCATGAGTTGTACAATTCTCCCCTTTCGCAGAACTACAAACAGTCTAAAGTTTTAACTGGAAGTTTAAAATTTATTGAACAGATTTTAAATTTGGAATAAAAAATTTACTCACTAAATTGTCAGTTTCTGGATCTTCACAAAAGAAGGGTTTTCCTTCCTTCTCTTGCTTCCTTACAAAATTTTCAATGTCCACATCAAAACTGGCAGAAGTTGTACCTTCTGAGCCCTGCGTGGATTGCTCACATTTTTCAAACAACAAAGCTAATAATGGAAACAGTGGATGCCTGGGGGGAAAAAAATGTACACTTTACATATGGCATGAGGATGTTTGGTATGCATGTATGTACACATTATTTGACATACCAATTTCGTTAAAATATAATTCATGTAATATATAATTTATCCATTCAAAGTTTACAATTCAATGGTTTTTAGTACACTCACAAAGTTGGGTAACCATCACCACAATCAATTTTAGGACATTTTCATCATCCCCCAAAGAAACTCTGTAGCCATTAGCAGTCACTCTCTATTTTACCCCTAATCCCCAGGCCACCACTAATCTGCTTTCTGTCTCATTAGATTTGCCAATTTTAAACATCCTATATAATAAAGAGATAATATGCAAATTGACCATCACTCCAACGTACAAGATGGCCGTCCCCATGTGGACAAAGATGGCCACCACAAGTCAGGCTGGCAGGCAGAAGTGGTTAGGGGCAATCAGGCAAGCGAGTGGTTGGGAGCCAGCAGTCCTAGATTGTGAAAGGGATGGATATCCCTCGAGGGGTCCAAGATTGGAGAGGGTGCAGGCTTGGCTGAAGGACACACACACACACACTGCCCACCCCACCGAGTGCACGAATTTCATGGACCAGGCCTCTCGTTTCATATAATACTAGAGGCCTGGTGCATGAAATCATGCACAGGTAGGGTCCCTAGGCCTGGCTGGTGTCAGGGCTGATCAGGGCCTTCCAGCTGCAGGCCGAGGCCTTCCTTCCCTGGCTGCCAGCTGGGGCCTTGCTTTGTTCAGCGCCGATCCCTGGGGGTCAGTGCATGTCATAGCAAGTGGTTGAACTCCCGGTCTCCTGAGGGGGCACTTTGCATATTAGCCTTTTTTATATATAGAAAATGTGACCTTTTGTGTCTGGCATCTTTCACTTAGCATGTTTTCAAGACTTACTGATGCTGTAACAGGTATCAATACCTCATTCCTTTTTTATGGCCAAATAATATCCATTATATGGATGTACTAATTTTACAGTTTTAAAATTTACATTTAGGTTGATAGTCCATTTTGAGTAACTTTTTGTATAAGATGTCAGAGTAGGTCAAGGATCTTTTTTTCTGAATATAGACATCCTATTGTTCTAACACCATTTGTTAAAAAGTCTACCTTTTCTCTTATTGAATTGTTTTCACAACTTAGCCAAAGATCAAATCCTATTTGTGTAGATTTATTTCTGGACTCTCTCTGTGGCATTGATCTATGTGTCTATCCCTTCACAAATATCACAGTGTCTTAATTACTGTAACATGGTTGCAAATCTTAAGATCAAATAAACTTGATTTCTCCTTTATTCTTTTTCAAAATTGTTTTAGTTGATCTAGTTATTCTGACTTCTATATAAAATTTAGAACTTGTCTATATGCACAAAAATATCCTGATAAAATTTAATTGGAATTGTATTAAGTCTATAGCCTGATTTTAGGAGAACAGACATCTGTATTATGTTGAGTCTTTGAATCCATAAACATGGTATGTCCTGCCATTTATTAGGTTGCCTCTGATTTGCTTGCATCAGCATTTTATAGGTACAGATTTATACCTAAGTTTTTTTGAATTCTGGTAAATGTACTATCTTTTTGTTTTCTGTTTCCAATTGTATATTACAGATATGAAACAGGGTTGGTTTTTGTGTGTTGCATGTGTAACCTGTGACCTTATTAAATTCACTATATACCTGGAAGTTTTTTGGTACATGCTGGGATTTTCTATGTCGACAATCATGTTTGTGCATTGAGCCAGTTTTATTTCTTCCTTTCTAATCTTTTTCTTGTCGCACTGGCTAGGACTTTTATTACAGTGCTGAGGTGGACATCTCTCATTCCAAACCTTAGGGGAAAGTATTCCATCTTTCACCATCAAGTCTGATGTGAGCTGTGGGTTTTCGTAGTTGCCTGTCATCAGGTTAAGAAAGTTCCCTCTTGCTGACAGTTTTAATTAGCTGTTGATTTTGTCAAATGATATGATCACACTGTGAATCTGATTGGTTGATCTTTGAACAGTGAACTAGTCTTGCATTCCTGGCATAAACTCAGCTTGGTCATTATATACTATTCTATTATTTTTGTTGCTGGATTCAATTTGCTAATATTTTATTGATGATTTTTATGTCCAAATTCATGAGGCATACTTTCTGTGAATTTTTTTGGATTTCTTTGGTATCAGAGTGTTGCTCAGTTTGTAAAAAGCATTGGGAAGTAGTCTGCATCTTCTATTTTCTGAAAGAGATTGTGTAGACATGCTGCTTTTTTCTCATACGGTTGGTAGAATTCTTCAGTAAAATCATCTGGGCCTGAATATTATATTTTACAAAGTGAACTAAAATGTGATTTACATTCCAAAACTTTTTTTAAAGAAAGGTATTAGAAGTAACATCTTAATCTGAGAAAATCTTCACCCTAGTAGTTATCACATCAAATCTTACTCTGCCTACCTAATAGCTCTCATGTTCCCTTTAACAAGGTTTTCGACTCTCATTATTCCTCTTAAAACCCACATGCTTCACATCCCTTCGCTACCTATAAATGGCCTGCTTGTCTGCATCCATCGGTGTCTGGGACCCCATAGGGGGAGGGCTCACTTCTTCCACATCGGGTTCAGAACAATTGGGATCTTGCTCTGTTTTCAACTCTGTTACTACTTGCATCTGTGAAAGGAGGAGGATAATTTTTGTTACTAACCAAAATACAAACTGCTATTAAGTGTTCTATTATCACACAGGAATGCAATGGGAAGGGTAACTGCCCGCTGTGTGATTGACAAAAATTTAAATGGATACCACCCACGAACTCTTTTATAATTTAATGTTTTAAAAAAGGCCAAAGGTCAAATTTCCAAATCATTTAAAAACAAAAAGGACTGATATATGTGAAATGCTTATGATTTTCAAAATCATAATAACCATACATTACTGAAGGGAATTGGTCCATATGTCTGCCTGCCTGCAGTATAGCCTCATGCTGGATAATACTGCAGTAAGAGAAGAGTAAACAAAATTGTCCAAGCTTCTCGTGTCATAAAAACAACTCATATCCAGTATGCTACATGTCTCTGACAGGCCTGAAATTCTCCCTTATCTATGCTTAAACTTCAGGAATACATAAACTATAAAATTCTTTTAAAAATTCACTCTATTCAGAAAATAAAAACCAGCTGTGTTTAAAGAAATAGTATTAAATATAAGAGGAGTCTTTAAGATATCATTTAAATTGCTTTAAACTAGCTATGTTGTAAGTTAGGTAAAAAGTATTTAAATTCTTAAACGTAAAGAATTCAGTTTACAAAAATATGCAACAAAATTGCTGCTTAGTAAACTTGTAATTATCCATGAGCAGATTACCTCCCACCCCTGCTCAACCCTAGCTGCAATGCCTTTGCCCTCAAGGAAGCAGTATGTTGGGTGCACTGGGGTGGGGTACTCATCCCCAGGAGATGGGAGAGTCCCATCATGATCCCTTCCTGACATTCAGGTGCTACGGCCAAGGAAGTAGTCCTCAGACCCAGGCTCTCCAATAGTCCAGAGTGACAATTCCATTCTGGTGCCTTTAAATGACAGAGTATATTTGGAAGATTGTTTTTCTCTCTTAAAAAAAACAACAAAACAAAACACTAAAGCAACAAACTAATACCCACTCAAACACAGTCTTTTTGGAGGAAAATCTGACAGTATTATAAAAAAGCCTTAAGAGATTTATTTCAAGGTTTCTTTTTTAATGACTGTGAAAGAAGGGAAATCTAAACGTTCAATCTCGAAGGAATGGTTAAGTAAATTTGGTATATGTATACTGAATAATATTAAGTGCTTATGTTCTCACCGTGGCCAGGAAGCTCAGTTAGTTAAGAGTGTCATTCTAATAAGCTAAGGTTGCAGTTCAATCCCCAATCAGGGCACATATAAGAATCAACCAATGAGTGCATAAATGGGTGGAAAAACAGATCAATGTCTCTCTCTCCCTTCCCCCCTCTCTCTAAAAACAAATAAAATAATGTTTTCAAAGAGTTTTCTGTGTTGTGAGGAAGTGCTTAGCTATTAAAATCAAGGGGTTGCCCTAGCCGACTTGGCTCAGTGGATAGAGCGTCAGCCTGCGGACTGAGGGGTCCTGGGTTTGATTCTGGCCAAGAGCACATGCCTGGGTTGCGGGCTTGATCCCCGGTGGGGGGCATGCAGGAGGCAGCCAGGCAATGATTCTCTCTCATCATTGATGTTTCCATCTCTCACTCCTTCTCCCTTCCTCTCTGAAATCAATAAAGAAATATATTTTAAAAATAAATAAATAAATAAATAAAATCAACGGGTTCACCACCCTTCACCTACCAGCTCCCACCCCCCACTGTGCTTGGCACTACACTGCATACTCACTGAATCAGGGCACAGACTGGGAAGAAGACAGACAGGGGTAAGCACAGAAAACTATCACTTAACAGAATATGTCAGAAGGTGATCATTGCTGGGAAGGAGAGATCAGAGAAAGCTGCAGTGGTAAGTAACTATGGCAGGCAGGAGAGTCTTCGAAGAAAGGGGTGATGCAGGCAAAGATCTGCAGAACAGTAAGGAGCTCACCAAGCTGCTGCCCGAGGGAGGTGGGGGGGAAGGGAAGAGCCAGGGCCACAGGGCAGAGAAGTGCCCCGGAGTAAAGGCAGAGGTGAGTGCACTAGGGGAGGTTGCAGGGGGCCTGGGATCTGAGTGCCAGGCAATGCGGAAGGCGGAGTGTTAAGGTCAGGCGTCAGCAAGGAGAGAGGAGTCATCATTAGTCACTTGGAAATATCAAAGGACTTACAGGTGAAAAGAGCAGGCTGAAACAGAATTCTCTACCTCAATTCCTATAAGAAGCAAAAAGAAAGAAATAAGATTTTAAAGCCTACAAAAGCAAACAAAAGCAACGGCAACTAAACCAGAAATGGTGCAAAGCTGGCCACCAAGGAAAAGACGTGGGAGTCAGCAAGGCTGGGGTGGCCAGACTCAGGTCCTAACCGCCCACGAGAAGCCCACCTGCAGCCTCACCAATGGGGCGGCTGTGACTTCCTAGGGTGAGTCAACCCTACCCAGATTTGATCAACTGGTCGGATGCACTAAAATCCTCTAGGACAGTGGTCACCAACCAGTGGTCCGTGAGGTCCGAAAGGTTGGCGATCGCTGCTCTAGGAGGCCCTAGACAGTTTGGTTCAGTGGATAGAACATCAGCCCATGGACCGAAGAGTCCCGGGTTTGATTCCGGTCAAGGCCATGTAACTCGGTTGCAAGCTCCATCTCTGGTCGGGGTTTGTGAGGGAGGCAATCAACTGATGTGTCTCTCACATCAATGTGTCTCTCTCTCTCTCTCTTTCTCTCTCTCTCTCTCTCCCCCTTTCCCTTCCTCCCTCTCTAAATATCAATGAAAAAAATATCCTCAGGTGTGAGGATTAACATACATACATACATAAATAAATAAATAAATAAATAAATAAAATAAAATCTTCAAGGAGGGTGAGAAGAGAGCTCCTGGCATGGGCATTCTGTTCCTGCCTCCTGATTATGAGGTAGGTGGGAAGCAAAGGCAGAGCTGAATGTCTTCAATGGAAATCAGCTCCCAAGCTCCCGAGAAAAAAAGGGAATGGCCCCCACTGGAAGCACACAGAGCATTCCCAAAACTTCAGGTGTCCCAAGAGCGGCTGCTCAGGACTCAGTAAACCCCCTCCTTCCCAATTCCTTCAGGTCACAGAACATAAAACACCAGGGTAGCTTCAGGTAAAACTACAACTTACAGACAGTGGGAGGGCTGTCAAGAAACCACCCACATCCCAGCCAGTGTGGCTCAGTGGTTGAGCGTCTACCTATGAATAAGGAGGTCACAGTTCCATTTCTGGTCAGGGCACATGCCCAGGTTGTGATCCCCAGCAGGAGGCGTGCAAGAAGCAGCGAATTAATGGTTCTTTCTCATCATTGATGTTTCTATCTCTCTCCCCCTCTCTCTTCCTCTATGAAATCAATATATATTAAAAAGAAGAAAACACACCCACCGCCCTGGCTGGTGTGCTCAGTGGTGCCGGCCCACGCACCAAAGGGTCACAGGTTTGGTTCCCGGTCAAGGGCAAGTACCTGGGTTGCGGGTTCATCACTGGCCCTGCTAACACTGACATTAAAAAGGCAAATTCCTAGGCCTCCTGGTGCTTACCACAGACTGTGTTCTTTTTATTTTTTTTCTTTTAGACAGAAGAAGGGAGAGAGAGAAACATCAATTTTGCTGTTCCACTTACTTATGCATTCACTGGTTGCTTTTTGTATGTGCCCTGAACCGAGGTTGAACCTGCAACCTTGGCATAACAGGACGACACTCTAACCCCGTGGCCGGCAAACTGTGGCTCACGAGCCACATGCGGTTTTTTGGCCCCTTGAGTGTGGCTCTTCCTAAGCCTTAGGAGTGCCCTAATTAAGTTAATAACAATGTGCCTACCTATATAGTGTAAGTTTAAAAAATGTGGCTCTCAAAAGAAATTTCAATTGTTGTACTGTTGATATTTAGCTCTGTTGATTAATGAGTTCGCCCACCACTGCTCTAACCAACTGAGCTACCAGGCCAGGGCCACAGGCTGTGTTGTATACTGACTGCACAGAAAGAGAAGGCAGAGTAAACCTACCCCACACACAGCTCAGCCCAGGCCCTTCGCCTGGTCTGTATTGTGAAGAGGGGAAACAGAGTTAAGGAGGTTTGGAATTTGACCTTTTTCACCTCCAGGCAAAGAGCAGATGAGGAGAGGGCTGAGGCTGTAGCTGTATTTGGGGCATGGCAGCTGGGCCAGGGAGTGATTGTGGCTCTATTAAAAAAAATGCCCAAGAAAGTCTGATTTAGGGGAGTCAAAATTACTAGCAATCTTGGTATTATTTAGGAAATAATTTGAACATATATTAAGTGAATAATATACTAAAATTGAAACTGCAATCTCAGGGAAGTTAACTATTAATATGCAAAGCATTGCTTGTATTTTAGTAGCAGGTCAACTGACTGTAATTAAAACAGAATAAATCTTAAGTTCTCACTTGTTGCCCATCTTGATAACTGTCTATGCTTAATGTCTGTGTAGCCATCATGGTTAATAAGTTTATTATAAGACATCAAATCATCTTGAGTCAAAAGCAAATGGTATCTGGAAAACAAAAGCAGAAAAGCAGCAGTTAATAATTGCAGTGCATTTTTTGTCCTCCCTACTACACAACATCCATGTAATTTTTAAAATACATATTTTTATATGGAAAAAAACTGTCCTTACACCAAATCCTACTCAGCATCACCCTACTTACTTGGCGATCACGTTTGTTCTTGCACAGGGCCTGACTTGCTATCATACTTCTCAGTCATTTGGATTTACTCATTCACGTGCCCAAGTGTCTAGTGAATGTCTAAATATGCAGCAAGGACACTGTTCTAGGGAGGCCCTACTTTCCTGGCAGACAAGGCCAGGGGCTGCAGGACCATAAACATGAGGAAGGTCAGGCAGCACACAGGGTGTCAGAACAGAGATGAGTGAAGGGGCTCCCTCACGTGTGACAGCAGGCTCTCTGAGAAGATACTGGTCCTGAGACCTCAAGGACTTGATCGTGGCTGCTGAGACAGGGAGACTGGAGCTCAGACTGGAATGACAAAAGTGTGCTCAGGGAGGCTGGGCCGACACTCTTCTAACATCTGTATATAATATGGAGATGGGAATAATGGCTTGTTTTCCTGGCAACACACAGGTAAATGTCAGAAGGTGTTGAGAGGAAGAAAACCAGGTGGGGATACAGAATGACTTGGGGGACAGGGCTACTGATAGTGCCTGGGAGAAACTTGGGTAAGCTGATGTGCCTGAGCTGAGTGGTGAAGGAGGAGTGAAGATAAGGGAGTGGGAAACACGGAACCAGTTCACACAGATTCATGGGCCGAAGTAAAGACTGGTGTTCCTGGGAAGGTCTGAGCAGAAGGGTGACTTGACTTATGTCTTAGGAGGGTCCCTGACTGTGAAGGACAGGCAACGTGACTGGGGAACACACAGAGGGTGAGGGAGTGCTGCCATGGACAGGCAGGGGGCCATGTGGACAAGGGGGGCTGAGAGCACAGGGTTTGCAGATGGCCTGGGGTTGGGTGTGGGAGCAGGGTCAAGGAAGCATCCAAAGTTCCCACCTGAGCAACTAGCAGAGCAGAGTCGCATGTCCTGGTAAAGAGCAGATGGTGAGGAACAGGTTCTGTGGCCTGGGAAGAAAAAGCAAGTCGGGACATTTTAGGTGTGAGATGCTTCTCAGAAATCCAAGAAATATAAACTCAGTAATCATCAGACTGTGGTTTATATATGCCCTCCAAGATACACCCATCCTAACCCCCAGTCCCTGTGAACGGGACCTTATCTGGAATAGGGTCTTTAGAGATGTGATTATTAAGGATCTTGAGATGAGATCATCCTGGATTGAGGGGAGGCTCAGGATCCCATGACTCGTGTCCATTAAGAGTGGGGAGAAGCCCAGCTGGCGTGGTTCAGTTGGTTGAGTGTCATCCCATGCATCAAGAGGTTACTGTTCGATTCCCGGTCAGGGTACATGCCCGGGTTGCAGGCTCGATCCCCAGTAAGGGATGGCATGCAGGAGGTAGACAATGTTTCTTTCTCGATGCTTCTATCTCTCTACCCCTCTCCCTTTTTCTCTCTCTAAAAATCAATAAAAAAACACCCATATTTTAAAAAATTATTTTTAAAAAAGAGGGGGGAGAAAAAGACCTGAGATATAACTGAGGGGAAGGCTATGTAAATTGGAGACAGAGATTGGAGCGATGCTGCTGTAAGCCAAGAGCACACAGCCACCAAGTGGTAGAAGGCCTGGGCCTTCAGAGGAAGTGAGGTACCATCAACACCTTGATTTCAGGTTTGGCCACCAG